GAAATAATAATAATGAAGAGCAAGTTGTTCTCATATTTCAGTACACCCGCATAAATATCCAATAGGATATTTGTAGCCCTGAAGGTGAAATTATAGTTACTAATATCAGTAAAACAGAATTTACTAATTTATTGCTTGATAAATATTGGCTTTATCTTACAGTTTGTGATTGTTTTCATTTTTAAAATTATTGATGCCAGCATTAGTATTAGGGGCTAGATATACTATTTTAATTAATGCATTTTATAATGTGGTTTAATTGTGGATAGCAAAAACCCACTTCAAACTTGTCCAAGCAAAATGGATTATTTGACTTATGTAACAGAGCAGTCTAAACCTAGAAACAGCTTTAGGTACAGCATGAGAAGGGTATTCAATTGAGATATTCCAAAATAACTATCTAGAGATAACTATTCACCACTGATATGCTCTTGTCAACTTTATTTTTAGGCGGCTATAGCCAATCACAACCACCAGTAACATTAAAATATAATTTCATAAGTTTAGATATCTTTTTGAAATAAATACTTTCTTTCTGCAACTGAGTTTCAGTGGAATCAATGTGTAAGGATTTCACTAGGTCAGCTGAGTAATGAGTTTAGTAAGGAAACTTAAATGCACTGAAGGGCCACATCAGGGACACGTGTACTGCTGAAGCGCAAGGTTGAACAAGGCTCCCTCAAACCACAGGGAGAAGATTGAGGAAAGAGTCCTCATCTGCCTCTCCCCTAAATCAAGGGACTTGTCCAGATGAAAGTCCCTTTCAAATTGTTGCTGGGTAGGCAAAATGTCAGGTCTCTTGTACGAATGGCAACCATGCGAAACAACGAATACTAACACAGTGTCTAAGAATAAAAATGTGCACTCAGAGCTTAACATGCCCTTAAACACTATCGCCACCATTGTTCAGTTTTTAGATGGGATTTATTGGCAAGCCTGTTGTTAATGTTGTCTCAATTAGCAAAATGGAGTTGAAATGATCAAGATCCTGGACCAAAATATATCCATTGGTGTTATAGCCATGCATACCAGACCTGCTTTCAAGTGAAGCCAATGTATTTTCCAGCCAAAAGGAGAGAAGAGACCATAGAAATTCAGCCCGTAGAAATGTAAAAGAGTAGTTGATTACTCAGAATAAACAGAAATAGCAGAAGGCAGCTGGCAGGGAGGATTCAGAGATGGGCTGATAGAGTTTTGAGAAAAAATAAATACCTCTGTAGAACTATATTTCAGATACTAAAATATAAGATGTAGGGCTTCAGATGTGAAAGCATTTCATTGCTGAAAGTGGAAACCTCATGAGCTAAGCAGAAGGCAGTTTCTAATCACTGTCTACCTCAGAACATGTTCTGACCTCTCCGGCCTCATGTCCACTATCAAGTGTTAAATGGTAAGTAGGTAAACCACAGAAGTGTATATGTCATGCAAAAGCTGAGTCTTGACAGATTAAGAAGCACACCCATGTAAGAAAAGCACCCCTTGGATTTATTAATATGGTAACTCTGTACCAAAATCAACTGACCAAATCAACAAAGACTAGTAACCAAAATTTTATGCTCAAATTCAATAATCAAAACAGAGATCTTATAATCAAGTTCCAGTCAAGTTTGAGGCTCCTTGAAAAAAAAAAATGAAAAAGAACAAGTACAATGGTCTAGACTGCTTGAAGCCAGGAAAACTGAAAATTCAAATGATATTTTGTTTTAGTCATATACATTCTATTAACAAGCTCGTGTGTATGCATGTTTTATCTGGAGTCTTACCACAGTTTACCAAAATAGCATATGTATGTGTCTGCATGCTTGTATTTTTGTATGATGCCATCCTTGATGGTCAAAGTGTTCATTTAGGCCCTTGGGAACATGCTGTACAAAGATTAATTCTTATGGTGCAATTTAAATGCAATAAGAGAAAAATGATTAAGTGCATATACTTTCACTTAGCAGGTTCAGCTAGCTTATTTGTGGATCCAACATAATCTCTTAAAAATTACCATAAGAGAAAAATAACAGATTGTAAATGGTTGCTTATATTAACTTAGCTAAGTACTTGTAATCTGCCTAAGCATTATTTAACAAAACATAATTGCAAAATAGTACGATATCTCCGGAGTTTGGAAGACTCTTATGTGCCTAAATCATATTCAGCCACCAGAAGGCTAAAACAGTGAATAAAAAAGTACACTTGAAAATATTTGAAAAATATAGTTAGTTCTTTTCCTGGTACTTAATTTCATTCATCTTAGATAAACTAACACGGTAAGGAAAAAACAATAAGAACAACAAAAACCCCTTTGTCCACAAGGCACAGCATTTTAGATTTTAAATACTTGGATTTGGGTGAAAAAGTATGGTTTTTATAGAATTCCAAAAGTCAGACTTTAAGCATTGAGAGTCCATTTTGAAAGAATGAAAAATAAGTCTTATATCACAAAATATAAAGAAGGAAAATGCAGCATGATAATCTTCTAGCCCAAAAGGAAATAAAGCTTGATCTGGGGCAGGGTTCCCTATACTAGCAGCAGAAATTGGAATTACCAGGTTCTACCCAGGACCTACAGAATCAGGAGATGGAGCTCTGCAATTTAAAAAGCCCTATAGGTCATCCTGATGTCAACTAATGCATGAGAAACACTGGTCTAGACTAAAACAGATTTGATAGAAATAATTTAAAGTCAGTTGCTTGAAAAGAGTCTCTGTAGCTGTTCCACCTGGAGGCAGATACCCTGGGAAAGTCAGGGAGTGCTCTATATAAACAGCTGAGTATATAGAAGAATCCTGAGGTAGACCTTCCTTCCCTTCAGAGCATGGAACACAGTATGAAAACATATCTTTACCCATGTCCTTTCCAGCATGAAGCTGGGGCCTATATGAAGCTTCTGAGTTCTGGGCAGTGCAGAGAAAGCAAAGAAGCTTCCTGAGTATCTCCAATACAGACAGAAATCTTGAAAGGATCTGAAACTTGGACAAGGAGGACTTGAAATCAGATGGTCTTTCTTAGCAAGGACTGCAGCAGAATGCATACATTTTTCAGCAACAAATACAGATACCTCTTCCTTTCCTTATGGCAGGATGGTCTCAATGCTCCTAAATGTAGATCACCTGGAGAGAAGGGTCTAGAGAGAGAATTCTCAAAGTAATTGAGTTACCTTAAACTAATAATCCCTGGAACATGGACTTATTAACTTGTATTCATTTATAGAAAAATAATGGCAGCTATATAATGGCTTTCATATTGCAGTCTGTAATTATTCATTTTAAATATAGTACCATTAAATTATGTGGAAGATTTTAATGACAAAATATGTTCTCATAATTATATCAGTAACATTTCCAACTTGAAACATGCCTATTAGCTTTTCATCACTGTGACAAATACCTGAGATAATCAATGTAAAAGGGGGTAGGTATATTTTGGCTCCTGGTTTCAGAGGTTTCAGTCCCTGGCCATTTGATACCGTTGTTTTGGACCTGCAGTGGCACTGTACGATGTCAGGGATGTGTGGTGAAGGAGGCTTGTTCACTTCATTGTAGTCAGGAAGCAAAGAAAGTGAGACAGCAGGAAGCTTGGGCCTAATATCCCTGTCAACAGCACACCCCACTGGACTAACTTCTTTGTACTGGGCCCCATCTCTTAAAGTTTTCACCACCTTACAACACCATGTAACCTCCCAGCACCATTAGTTGGAGATGAAGTCTTTAACAAATGGCCTTAGGGGAAACATTTCATATCCAAACTATAGCAACATGGTCGAGCATTGATCTTAACTAGCCAATACCTGATGTTCAAGAAGTGTCACTTGTGATTCAAGCATTATGCTACATGTTGTCATATTTTATTTATAGACATAAGAAATTGCTTTAGTGAACATATCAGAAAACTGAGACAAATAACATTACCAGAGGTCACACTAGAGAAAGATGGAAACACAAGTGTTTGATATCAAAGCTTAGGATCCTAATCTCTTACTGACACCTGAGATACAACAATTAATGCCGAAGAATGTAAATAGCATAAACTAAAAGCTAAATGAAACATCTGATATGCAATATATATATCCATCCTAGATTGTTAATAAGCACCTGTTAATGATTAGATAAATACCATTCGATTTATAGGTACCCATTTCTGATTTAGAAGAGCAAAGGATAAAAACAAACCTTTACACATGCCCTATCCAGTATGAGGCTGGAGTCCAGCAGCAGCTTCTGAGTTCTGGGTGGTACAGGTGGTATACAAATGGCTACTGAGTAGCCCTAATAAGGCCAGAAATCTTGAAAGGATCAGTCAGTCACCTTATCTACAAATAGTGTTGACCTCTTTCCTGCATGTCTCTAATCTGATTTTTATTTCTTCTGGAACTCACCACCACCTGACATACATCTATTTGTAAATTCACCTGGTATCTGTCTGTCTGTCTCACATGTCTTTAAACTCCATGAGAGTAGGGCTATCTGATTAGTCTACTACCATACCTTTAGTGCTCAACTTCTGGTAACAGACAACTCAGTGAAAATCTCAATGGAATACTTAATACAATTTCCTTTCTATTTTTAGTGACTTAAGTATTTGTGAATGAATATTCAACTTCAGCTAATTCTTTTCCTACTATTATATGGAAAGTGAATGCTAATAAAACAGTCCATAGTTTTATGGACTTCTCTGTGGGATTTAAGGGGGTCATATCTTAAGTGTTTGCCAGCTTCAGTATAGACTTTTATCTCTGCTGAATATCCCCACCCAATGGTCGCATTGATTGCTTTTGAGATTTTTGAAGCTGATAAAGGGTCATGTCAATGTAAGCTTGCAGAATGACAGTTGCATGAAGGGGAGAAATCAAAGACTGAAAAGATTGACCAAGTTAAAAGAAGGATGGGAGTGGGGATCAAACCACCAGTTCTGCCTTTCAAAGATTTATACCACCCTCTTGTGGCAGAGGTAATCCTGACTTCCAGTGAGCTACTGTCAGATCAACCACCCACCCCATTCCACCTGTGTATCATGGTTAACTCAGCAGAGCACAGCAAGTTCCTAGGTAGGGGAGCCAATTGCAACAAAAACAGAATTCTGAACCAGAGTACAAAATGAAAGGTTTTAGGACAGCAATCTAACACCCAGCAATTCCCAGGAAGCTTTTATCTCAGCAAGACGGAAAGAATTCTGGTTCTTATTTGTTTTCACCTAGGGTAGACATCTTGTTGGCACCAGGAGTTCCAGAAAGTGTCTGCCAAGTCCATGTCAGTCTTGGCACATTTTCAATGATGTGCTATACAGTACATCACATTTCTACTACAAGAAAGCAACCTGGGACCACACAGATCTCTGTGCTAAAGGCCTGGGAAGAAAAAGTAAGTACTTCCTGATTGGCTGACAGATTGGCTTTGGGAGAGTTCATGTTTCAGTGTTCAGAATGAATGTGACAGCTCCAAGGAATCTCTGTTTTGCTCGTTCTCCTTGTAGAAAACATTTTAATTTTATTTGAACTGTTTTCTTTCTCTTTTATTTCATTTTTATTTTCTCTCATTTCCTTTCTTTTTCTTTTACCTCTCACTCTTTTGAGTTTTCAAAATTTTCTTGGCCATCACCAAACAGGCAGGTGACTTTGTTCATTTTTTAAGTTGTTTTTCTTTAACTCTTCTTTATGAGTGCTTTCTGTCAGCTGTGTATTATTTTTCAGGTAACCTCCAACCAGAGAATTCAGAGAATAAGGGGGAAAACACAGCATTTTGTTAAGTATAATTGTCTTAGAAATATTATGAGATAGTAATAGTTTAAAAATCTCTAAGCATACATTTGTAGGTAAGATTAATGATCACTCTAAAAAGTAGTCATCATTTGCCTGTCCGATATTGAGTACATGCAGGAACCACCTTCACTGTAGGAAGCACCTTTTATTGCATGAAGGGATCTTTCATTCCTAAAAATCTATGGAAAGAAGTGAGCATCAGGGAGAGAAAGAAATAGGAAACTGTGGCTGTTTATACAACAATGCAATAAATAGGCCAAAGCTTCAAAGAAAATGGGCAAAGGTGAAAGATTCCCCACTTTCTCAATACCTTCTTTGTGATATTGGATAAAAAAATACAGAGCTTTTTTTTTTCCCCCATAATAAAGATGTTGTCCTTTGGTGCTGAATAAATAGGTAACAGTGGTCCACCCCATGCTTTGAATATAGTCCTTGTTGCTCTGCCACTGAGGCTTATTTTAAAATGGACTTGTTTTCTTTTCCTCTCTCTTCTTCCTATCTCCCTCGGTAACCTGGGGTGGGGTGTCAGGATTACCTTTTTCCCATCCTAGAGTTCTCTGTCTTTGAACACACACGCTCATCACAGGAACTAAGTAATTCAGACTTCAGGAACGGGTCCAAAAGATCTAAGGAATGGCTAACTCCCAAATTAACAAGTGAATCACAATCCCCCACAGGGAACATCTAGAATAAATCATGTCTTTAAAAACCCTCTGTTCTCCAGATGGACAGAATCACTGAGTCTGGGAGAGGAGTCCCCTGTGCCCCTCCTTTGCTAGCAAAGCAAATGAAACTTCCTTTTTCTTATTTTCAAAACCATGTCCTTCTTATTGAATCAGCACTGGGGACAAGGACTTTTGGTAACAAATATGCTACTAGTCTATGTGAATATCTCAGGTCTTTCCTCTCTTTTTGTATTAGATTTTTTTAGAGTGTACAGAAATGATTATGATTATTATATGATTAGAAGCATTGAGAATGAATTATAAACTAAAATCAGGAATTCTTTAAACAGGTAGAATGTCTACAATTGTGTCAAAAGAGTTCTTAAAATATGGTTCCAAATTAAAAAAAAATCCTCTAAAGAAATAACATAAAGTTACCCTAATTGGTTCATTATTGCTTCCCTGTGACCATTTCTTAAACTTTGCTTTATATAGTAAGAAAGAAAAATAACACGTATTTTCAGATCCATTATGTAATAAAATAAAGGTGGCAAGTGGGCACAATCAATTTACATTATATGCAAAGTAGCTCAGCTTTAATGAATGGCTTTGAACAAAAGAATAGAAAGACAGCCTAGTAGTTCATACAATGTAATCAATAGATTTGAGTGTTCCTTTGTTAATGAACTTGTCTAGCCAAAATATTCCAGTTTAAGGAAATGCTTCATGATAACCAAAGGTAGAGAAATCATTATTCCTGCATTTAAGGAATGACTAAATTCCCAATTACTGTATCAGAAGATTGTCAGAAAGAGAAAAGCTCATTAGTTCAGCAAAACTACCTGATTATCCTCAAACAGTAAAATCATATTTTTTATACAAAAATGGGTTGCATTTTGGAAAATTACTGTTGCATGGATAATGTATTAAAAGAGCTCCATGATACGTGCCTAATGTTTTTGTATTGTTGAGGAGCTTGGGAGACATTATTATGCATACAGATGTGCTACAGATCATTAAAGATCAAGAGCTTTCAGATTGCAAAGTCAACAGACTGATACCAAAACTCAAAGAGACAAGCAGCCATCTTATTCAGAATAGGAGCTTTGAGAAGCAGAAGTAAAAGTGATATTCTAATCACCGCTGCAACTCATCCAACATTCTGATCATTGTTCTAGGCTGCGTAAAGAAAAAAGGAAACAATAAGAATGAACACTTTAACTTAGTATTTAAGAAATAATGTGTAATACTTTTCAGAATGTGATATAGCATAATGTTGATGTCAGTGACATTGGGGCAAAGGACAGGTAGCTAATTATCAAAGAAAGGGAAATGGGTAGATAGCACTCTCCATCCCCCTGGTGCTAACAGCCTCAGGGGAGGGGGAGGATTACACTTTCCAACACAAGCAATCATTCCCTGGATGGCTCTTTTGCTGCCCTTTTGGTCATTTTTGGTCATGCAGGCAAGGAGGGAGGAGGGGACATGAGAAATCTGAAATCTATGAAATGGGCAAGACACCCCGATTCCCTCAGGCACCAGCTCTGGACCCCCTCCTTTCCAGGAGAGGACCCCCTCCTTTCCAGAAGAGTCAGTCTCTCTCTCTCTCTCCCTCTCTCTCTCTCTCTCTCTCTCTCTCTCTCTCTCTCTCTCTCTCTCTCCTATCCTTTAGTTAGAGATGGACACAATACCTTTATTTATTTATTTTTATGTCGTGTGGAGGATTGAACCCAGTATCTCATAGGTGCCAGGCAAGCGCTCTTCTATTCTTTAAATAAAACTTTTTACTCTTTCCTTGGTATTTGACCTTTCAACACTGGGGAACTCAACACTGGGGAGAGAGGACAGGATCCTGATTTTCAAGACTGGTTTCATCAGCAATGGTGACAATTTAAGAACAGACAATGGAAATACATTAAAAATGTGCTGTAACAGGCTGATTTAATAATATCTTTTCTGTAAAATAAGGGAAAATTCTGGTACTTAATTGAAAATATCACTTACCAAATTTTGACAAATTTTTTGAAAGGAATATTTTAAATGCAAAATTTGGACAACAGTATTGAAAAAATACTTTTTCAAGTTTAAAAATATTGTTTTGTTTTGTTTTGTTTTACTTAGATGATGTGCCCTGCAATTTGAAATGACTGTGATAAGCATTTTAAAAGGTAATTTCCCGTAAGCTAGACATTATAAGATCTGAGAAATCAAAATTATCTTGGGTTCAATTTATTGCTAATAATACAAATAGGGAATAAAGTCTAATTTCCACATGATGTTCTTCTTACTAATAAAAGGAGAGACTGGAACTAGAAAGCTCTAGTGTTCCTGGTTAAAAGACGTGATAAAACTTAACTTGAAGAAATGTAGTGTGCCTATATAGTAAAATGGATCAAGTCTTCATAACATCAGTGTCTGTCTTCTTCCCATTTGCCAGTCTTCTTGGCATTGATCTTAACCCTTCCATACTTTCTGGACCCCAAATTCTCCCAGGCCAGCGATGATTTAAATCAAAGCTAAGTGTTCAGTTACAACTTGTTATTGCTACTAGATGATCTCTGACAATACAGGCCAAATCAAGAAATTATGCTGCTTCTTTGTTTCTGGTTAAGGGTCTGTAACTAAAGATTATTCCTGGGCCACTGTACTGAGGTCTCTACTTAAAATTAGTAGCCTACAGCTTTTCCAGTCTCTGAGCCTGAACCCCTGTTTTACTTTCTAGTCAGTCCATTCTCTCCATTTCAGAGACTGCAATTAGTCCTGTAATGTCTGCCACCTGATACTTTGTGCATTTTTTTTTTTAAAGCTTACCTCTGTGAAGCTCTGAACAGTGACAGCTCCTAAATTGTTCATTGCCATGCTCCACTGGCCTGACTATCAGTGATTTTCTGATATCCCTCTTGGAAAGTCCGGGATACCAACTACTTGCCTGCTCCTGTCTTTTGTCATATATCCTCTGGATACCATGACTGTTAACCCAGATTGCCTTGGGGAGGAAAATGCATAGACTCTGCCTTGATGGTATTTAGACAACAGTTAAAATGCAGGCTCATCCAACTCTGGAAACAGTTTAACAAATAACAGTAACAATGAAGTTATCTCTTAACACCCTGTAGAACACAGTAGAACACATGGTGGAGGGACAAAGAAAAAAATACTGAAGATATTAATCTGATTATAAAATATGGAGCTAGACTAATATAAACATATCCCAAATTAAACACATAATTTTTAATATTTTATTCTTTAAAGAGAGATGCATTTACCCTGGTGCCTCATCTGTGTATGTCTGCTTCATGACTCAGGAATTTAGGCTTGAAACAAATCAGAAAAGAAGAAAAGTGCTTATAATATGTGAAAATCTACTGTCCACATTCTGCATTTAGAGCTTCCAGAATTCTGTAACCCATTTATTTTTATGGTTTCTCTAAATTCTTTCAATGGGAGTACCTCCCCAAATCAATACTATGGATAAAAAGAATAAGGCCACAATACACAGAAACTAATAAGGGCAAAGATGCCAATTTGTTAAAAGATTAACAAATCTTTTGTTCAAAGATTAACAAATGACTAGGATTTATGAATATCAACTTATTGTACAGCTTCAGGTAGGAGAAAGAGTCATAAAGAGTGAATAGATATGTATTCATGTTAACATTAAGGTGATATAAAACAGATTGTGCATAGGTCTTACCTCATTCACAGATTGAATGAAAAGGAAAAAAAACTAAAATAAAAATAAAATGAGGATATTGAAAATAAAATTAATAGAAAGAGAGTAGCAGAAAATTCAAGTGAGAGACTTGCCTTTAAAAATAATTTATATGTGATCCACAACAATTTTTTAAGGAAAACTTTGAGATCTTTAAGGAAAATAAAAAAGACTGAAGGAAATGAAGAGACAGAAATTTAAAGAAAGCAGAGAGTAGAATTACATACAGGTAAAGAAACACAAAGAGATTTAAAATAAATAAAGTATGGCAAGACTACCAGATGAAAGGAAAGGACAAAAATTTGAATTGAATAAAATAGAAAATAAGTTTTATGTTGTGAAACCCAAATCAACTATGGACCAAACAAGCTTGAGCATTTCTTTTAAAATGCAGAAGGAAACCACTGATGTAAATAAATGACAAGAGAAAATTTAATAGCTGTAGGGAAAAAAAACCTGGAATGCTGGGATGTACTCTATTAAAGTGACCAGATTTATGCTTATGAGGTAAAGAGAAAGTCTTGATATTCTCCAGACCAATGAGAGAGTTTCAAAGACCAGTTAGTTTCAGATTTCTCCTTAAACACCTTATTGACTACAGGTTATGAAGAAAAATAAGATGTTTTCAAGTGGAAAAGTTTAGCATCCAAAGAATTTTATAAGTAATCCTAGAACCTTGGATTATGAAGTCAGAATATCCTCACATATGTATGAACTATAAATGTTAAAGCATGTAACTGTTTTAAAATAGTACAATAAAAACATCAAGCAAAACTGTGAGCAAAAAATTGATGTAGTGATACAAGTTGAGAATCACTTATCTGGAAATTCAAGATCTGAAATACTACAAAGACTAACTAAACTTCAGCAACCCAGGCAGTAAGTCACAAATGAAAAATTCTATACCTGACTTCATGTGACAGCAGTCAAACACACAGACCCACTGATAATACACTGTAAAATGAACCTCAGGCTACATACACAAAGTATATATGAAGTATATATGAATTTCATGTTCAAACATGGGTCACATTCCTAAGATATCTAACTATTTGTGTAAAGTATTTCAACCCCTACCCCAAAAGAAAATCCCAAATCTGAAACACTTCTGGTCCCAAACATTTGAAACAGGGAACATTCAACCTATAGTATGAAATTATACACAGGGGAAATGAAATAAATAAAAATAGAATCTTAATAATTTTATTCTTGAAACCAAATATTCAGAATGTCAAAAACTTCATTTGCAAGGGAATAAAGATATAAAACACTAAAATAGAAACACTGCAATTTTTGAAATGCAGCTTAAATTAATGGAAAGAGAATAACAGAAATTTCAAACGAACAATGGACTTACATTTAAAAGAAACTTACTACAGAAGACACCTCAGTAGATATTATGAAACCATAAAATTGCTAAGCAATAATATTTTGAATATAAATGGTATCTATTCTGGGGAGTAATATGAGAACAAAGTAAAAGAGATGATAATTTTTAAGATTAAATAATTTGTTTATTCAAACTGCTTATACATCAATTTCTCAAAAATAAAAACAGAAATGGTAAAACAACTGGGATATGCTTTAATAGGCATAACAAAGAATGTAAATTTACAAATATAAAATGTTTTAGTAATTCAGTATGGAAAAAGCATGCTAGCAGAAAAGTGTACAAATGTATTGTTCATGCAATTTACATAAAAGAAAATAAAAAAGGACACCAAACACTGAAAACATTTTAAATTCATTTTTTAAAAAAGAATATAATGTATCATTTAAAAAGTGTCACCTTAACTTGCACGTAGGCGGTTTGTACATTATTCTTTGAAAGAGTTAACATAATCCTTCTTGAAGACACTGGGGACATACCAACAACTGCTTATATTTAGACCATTTTATCACAGAAATTTAAAAAGTAAAAATTGGAGAAGTGAATGAATTAATAGTTTCAAAGCAATACAGTTTGAAATAAGTGCTCAAAATTAATAGTTTCAAAGCAATACAGTTTGAAATAATAAGTTAAATGCTCAAAATTGAGAAATATTGAAATACTGTATTCGTAAGAATTATTACTATCTGGGGAGCAGGAGAGGACAAGGTCTTGAGGATCCTACCAACAACATTAAGATCTTCATTTGTCAGCATATGGTGTTAGAGGGCCTATAAAATTTTTTAAAAGAAAAGTAACATGATGATATTAATATTTTAATGATATATCACTGGTGAGGCAAGGTGAAAAGTCATAATAATTGGAAGGCAGAAAAGTAAAAAGACAAAGATGCCTTGGATTTAAAAGAACTTAGTGATTGAGTACATTGTGGTGTAAATTAAAGTGAAGAACCAACAATTACTTCCAGGAATCTAATGAAGTCACCAAGTTAGACTGATTGGTGAAATAAATGAAATACTTGGTCATTGAGGAAACACTTTGGTCAAAAACAGTTTTGCATTTAAACAAAATGAACTTCCAGGTTCACAAATATCCTTGCCATATGGTAGGTTTTGCATGATGTTGTAGGTATGGTTAGAATTTAGAACAAGAAGAAACTATTAAAGGATTTTAAAGAGAACATCAAGTTTTATTTTAAAAAGTTTACTGACCCTAAATGGATAGTGGATTAGAAGAAAAGAGTAGAATGGAAAACAGAAGAGCAAAGGACAATTATAGTCCAAGCTTGAACCATACTGATGCCTATGGATATGGTAAGAAATCAATAAGTGTTCACAATACGACAAAGATGAGTTGTTTCAGTGACTTTGAGGTGCATGAGAAAAAAGAATACAAGTTGATCTTTTGGACAGTGTATTTGGTTTACACAGCATACTAGGTTTTGGACTAGTTCTTGCAATAATAAACACTAGATTGATCTGAGAATCAAAGACTGAGTTCAGTTAAGTATAATTTTAGAATTTTTGAAAAGACAAGTGAATATATTAAAGATGTATTCATGTCCATAGAACAGAGAAGGAGAACCTTATATGTAGACATACATAGAGGTATGTATTGGAGATTCAAATAAACAGTCTTTATATGAATAAGAGTAGATATGTTCCCTAAGGTGCATTTAGAATGTCAATGACTACCAACTCAGAAAAGCACTCTGAAAAATCCAGATGGAGGTGAGGTGGAGAAGGCAGAAGTAGAGGGGAAAGAGAGAAGGAGAAAAGAAAGACAAAATTAAAGATTAGAGTTGTGTGGTGTCATGCAATAAGAATTTAAAAAACACCTTTTTTTTCATAAAAACTGAAAGAGGAGAGTTGAATTTTGTTGAGTGTCGCTGACAGGATTCATTGGATTTAGTAATAAAGAGAATTGATGAATTTGGAGCAGATATGGCCATGCAAGGATGAAAAAGGAAGCTAGAGTAGATATTCATTCATTTTTTTTATTTTTCTGATGAATTTTATTGTGCTTTCTGGGGTCCAGCACTAGAAGAATGACCACAGTATACCTTCTTGCACAGAACATACAGCCAGGGTAAACAAGCATTGATAAGTTAAAATAAAAATGCAAGGTGATTTCTGATGCTGTCAAGAATAATCAAAAGAATAGGGCAAATGAATAGATACAGTGGAAAGTGAGATTAGGGAGATGGGGTCTAGTTCAAGATCCAGCTCACTATGATGAGAGCCCTGGAATGCAATCATGACCCCTGAGAGTGCCTCCCACTGTTAGAATTCCTACCTGCCAGTCTGCCCTTGGTTTTCTATGCACTTTCTGCTGCGTTGAGAGTGCTAGTTTACTAACCACATAGATTTCCCTATGCATTCCTTCTATTGGACCCCTGACCTACAGACAAAGCTACTAAATGCTCTAAGACCCAGGCAGGCTCTGTTAATTCTTATTTCTCCTGTTTTGTTCACAGCTGGAGAGATACCTCGTTAGCAACACTTTAAAACCTAATATCTTCTAGAAATTCTCATAAAAATAGATTTACAGCCACAATCTTCTCACTTTGTAGGACATGTAATTTAGATTGCAGTGCCTTCTGGAACAGGGAAACAAAACAAAGCTGAAAGATAATTTGTTCTCAGAAGTCATTTCTAAATAACAGGAATTTGTTATTGAATTTGAGTTGGCTGTCTTCTCTACCTGAAGATAACTTTCTATCACACAACAAACCCCTTGATAAAATGATAACCCCAATGAGATCTGCCCATCAGTTTTTAAGACAGTGAACATAACTTAGATTTAAACTTAGATCACAGCTATAGAGCAAGGATGTGATTTGTTGAAAGACATAATTACAACGGTCAAAAAAAGAGAAGAAAGAAGAATAAGCCATGAATCTTCCAATGACTTGAAAACAATAGGAGGAAAATACAAATCAAAGTGTAACAGGATTCACAACCTGAAGTCCTTGGGCACAGAACTACAGAGTACCTGGTTTCTTTACTGAAATGATATACTGAATTTTGATCAAAATTCAAAATTTGAGCATGATTTCTGCAAAATGTGTATACTTTTGCCCTATGGCAAAATTGGAAAAATCATAAGATGTACCATCACGAAGTCAAGGACCATCTATAATTGCCTTTTTATATCATTTATTTTCTTTGTAATCAAACATATTTACACAGTTGGAAGCATCATTGCAAAAAGGAATCTACAGACTCCATCAGATTTCTAAAGAGATCCTACAAAATGCTTAAGGAAACCAAGAAAATAACAACAACTTGGTAATTCAAAGCAGTCCTTCTGAAGACATCCAAAGTTATGGACTAAATATTTAAAAGAAACAAACTAAAAATATCTTCACAAATCAATGAGTTATATTAGGGGGAAAATTGAAATTTAGAAAGGGCCATGGTATTTGTAGCCAGCATTGACCATAAACCTTTGTCTCAGGTTATAAAAACTTATTATTGAGCTGCAGTAATCAAGACAATGTAACACACTGCACAAGAATAGATAAATAGACCATGCAAAACACAATAGGGAGTTATCCAGACAATCAACACGTATTGAAAATTTATGACAACTAGTGTGTGCATCACAGGAAGAGAATGGGCTTTCAATAAACAATATATTAATCTAACAAATGGTTATACATGTAATCAAACTCTAAAACCCTAAACCACAGGACCTATATAATACAAACAAAACTCTAATGAATTCTCAGGAAAAAGAATAGTCCTTAAATCTCTTTTAACACTTGCATTAACCATAATCTACTCTGTAAATCCATGTCAGAAAATGAAATTTAATATTTCTTTTTTTAATCTCCAAAGTAGAATCTACACATCCTTGGGATTTTTACAGTGTGTTGTAAATACGTATGAAATTGGCAATCTCTCCAGCTCACAGTTTTTCTTTTTCAAAGAATGTCATGCTGCTTTCTTAAATTTTTTTTGCAAGCTAATTTTTAGCAATGATAAATTGATGAACAATGAAATGGTTTTTTTTTCCTCTATATTTTGTCTTCAATGTATATTCTTAAATTTCTGATGTGGAGTGGCTAAAAAACTTATCTAAATAAATGAGTGAAGGGCAGATGTTGCCCAGGAGAGTGAAATATATGTTCTCCTCCAGTCAATAGTCTTTGTAATATAAAATAATTTGATTTGTTTCTCTTGTTTGCTTCTTTAATTTATAATAATAGGAAATATCATCATGCAGGAAGTTTTGCCAAAGTGACTTGTTTATAACAGAATCCATGACCATTAGATGTAAAAATTATTTTTGTATCAAATTACATGGATGGATTTCTAATGATTGTGCTATATGTATGATTAATACTTCAGATTGCTCTCCAATGTGAGATATGGAAACAATTTCCAAGGAAGTGCTTTGATAAGATAGTCCTTACTATGAAGTTTGAATTTTATTTTTTTGTGTGTCTGAATACTTTTGCCTTTAACCTTTGGTTGTTTTCTTCTATCCCTCTCTCATTCATGCACTTTTTCTCCTTGTTAACAGTGGAATTTGGCCAAGTAGACAAACAAAAACAAAAGTCAGTAGATAACTTGTGGCTATCCACAAGAATGAACCATGCTTTTTCCTTTTGAATCTGAACTCTGATGATTTGATTAATAGAGTGGAAGTGATCCTGGATCCATTCCCAGGCCTTTAGAAACTGAGATTTAATTTAAATTTCTGTTAATATTCTCATACAAATTGATTTTACTGTAGGTAACATATATAGGGAAACTAAAATTTTTATAGTAACAAATAATTGTGGCAGCACCATTCATTGAATGTCTGTTTTTTTCTCCCACTAAATTATAATTTTCTTCGGTTTCTCTCTATTGACTGGAAGTCATCATGATCATGACTTTGGATGAAGCTGGGTCCTTCAGTGACTGCTTGGTGAAGAACATTCGACTTGCCCCTCAAAACCACTACCTATATTTGACCCAGCTATTCTTCTCCTTAGACTATATCCAAAGGACTTAAAAACTATAGGAACACAGCCACATCAATGTTTATAGCAGCACAATTCACAATAGCTAAATTGTGGAGCCAACCTAGATGTCTTTCAGTGGATGAATGGATAAAAAAGAGTGTGGCATTTATACACAATGGAATCTTACTCAGCATTAAAAAAGAACAAAATCATAGCATTTGCAGGTAAATGGATGGCATTGGAGAAGATAATGCTAAGTGAAGTCAGCCAATCCCCCCAAAACAAATGCCAAATGTTTTCTCTGATATAAGGAGGTTGACTCATAGTGGGGTAGGGAGGGAGAGCATTGGAGGAATAGATGAATTCTAGATAGGGAAGAGGGGTGGGAGGGAAAGGGAGCTGGCAGGAGATTAGCAAGGATGGTGAATGTGATGGACATCATTATTCAAAGTACATATATGAAGACTTGCATTGGGTGTCAACATACTGTATATACAAACAGAGATATGAAAAATTGTGGCATATATGAGTATTAAGAATTATAATGCAAAAAAACAAAGTACAAGTATAAAGGCATAAATTGGCATGAATATATATAGAGATATAAAAATTGTGCTTTATATGTGTAATAAGAATTGTAATGCTTTCCACTGTTATCATGTATTTAAAAAAATAAAATCAATAAAAGATTTTTAAAAAGAAGAATGAAACAATAAAGCCTACTATCATTAAAAAATAAAATAAACCTATTTTTTGATAAGCCTCTGAAATTTGATGTTTTATTGATTTGGCTGCTAGTGTTACACTGAATTAACTGAAATATAAACTGTTAAATTCTATTTGGAAATTATTCAGTTTAGATGTTAAATCCAAAGAAATATTAGACTATAATTATATGTTTATGCCATCTTTACCTTGTTATAATATCAAATATAAACTTTTTACTTCTCTGAAAAATTTTGTATAAAATAAAATTTTCTATTTTCTTGATAGTGTGGAAAACTTATGTGAACCTCATATCTTTGGAAGGAATGGGGATTTTGATTACTTTTTATCATGGATCCACTTGAGATTGCTTTAAAATGTTATGAAAACTATGAATCCTTTCTTCATTAAAATGAACAGTTATATATTTGCTCAAAGTTTTGCACACAAGCTCATGTGTCTTAATGAGATAATTAAATCAAAATCACAAATCACTGACTGCTGCATGGGTCAGAATTCTACATTGTTCCCTTTCAAATTTTTTCTTCTGTTCATTTTGGCTATTGTCTCGCTTTGCTCTTATATTACTTTTAGGTATAATATAGATTAAGCTAAATGTTCTACTTATTTCTTCCATCATCGAACTTGTTTTAATGTGGACTAGTGATGAGATATTTCAAGAAATTACAAGACACAAAAGAAGTTACCAATATTGTATATTTAAAATACAAATGTATTGTAAGTGAAACAATGGACTCTATTAAAATTGTGTAAGCAAAACTAAAAATGAGTTTTTTTAAAAAAAAATAGGACCTTATTTTATTCATATGAGTAAGACTTAATGATTTAGTTGCTTGAAATGGCTATAGTTGATTTTTACCCGATTTAGATCACATAAATTGCCCCAGTGTTTGCCTAAAACTGATCATGAACTAAGAACATTTGTTACCCTCTACTCCTACGTTCACCTTTACCCTTTCTTCCTTCACATACATGCACCCTAACAATACATCCCATCCTAAGGAGCTAATTAGAGTGTCCATCTGCACACTGATTACTTGTTGGCTAGTAGAACAGTTGATATGTTGTATATTTTTAGCCTCCAGGTTTTTCAGGTTTTTTGGTTTTTTAGACAACCTCTACTACACAATGTGTGCCAAATAGCCTGGAGAGGTAGCAATGGACATTGGGAACTGAAAATTCATCTCTCTTCTGGCAATACAATATGTTACTAATGAGCTTCTGTTTTGGCTCCTAAAAAGTAATTTAATTCACAAATCTCCCTCAATGCCTGTATTAGAATTCCTCACTTGCTAGAGCATGCTCTGTCACTTCATATGTTCTTGCTCTATTTGCCCTCTCTGAAACTGTTCCTTAGAAACGTTCCCCCTCTCTAAACCAACAAAAAAAAAAAAAAAAGGAAAACATGCTTCTGAGCCACATTTCCAAATGGGACTTGGTATGAAGAATTCTTCTCTTATTTTTATCTCCATTTGGAAATGATTTCTGTAATATTGCCTTTCAGCTCAAGTGTGTGAATGTGCCGTGGGGATTGCTGTAGTGCAAGCTACTTGAATCATAGGACATTTTTACATGATACTTGAAATTTTTTTTTATATTCAATAGAGAAATGAAATTGAGAACCAAAATCATTTGTACATAGCTTTGAATTCCCTGCACTCATTTTCTCTATAGTAAAAAGCAGACCTGTGTAATAAGAAGCATTAGAGAGAATGCAATTTACTGCTAAATCAACTATTTGTAGGACATATGTGATAGTGACTTTGGGGGAAAGATGCCTGGTTTTCATTCCCCTCTTTATTGCTGACTTACTATACAACCTTTATCCATGCAATTAACTTCTTTTACTCTTGATTCACCTAATTTAACTATAATGGCCATTTTGAAAACCACAAAACTATGTATTTATTTTTTTCCACTTAGCTTTTTGTGATTCTAGTTGATGTAAATAAAATTTTAAGAGGCATTTAATAATAGAGATTATCTTTTCTGCAAATATTTTGGCTCAGTTCTTCCTCCAACTTTAAAGTTATCAATCAAGTGCTTGCAAAATTATAGAGGACAGAATGGGCTCTGTTTGATTTCCTCTGTGATATACACTAAATTAGACCTATTAATATTGCAAGTCAAGGCATATTGGTGGAATATGAAATGAATTCAGGGGATTAGAGGCAATTTTTTTAAAAGTAAAGGATCCGCTTTTTTGTTCTGTTTTGTGTGTGTTTATGATTATTGAAGAACGATGTAAAATATGTTTATTATTATGAACTAAGGTTACAAAAAGCCTTGAAAATCTTCTCCTGGATTCTTTATTTTGATGTTTTATATATATATATGTATATATATATATATATATATGTGTGTGTGTGTGTGTATGAGTATATATATATATGTTTGCATTAAATATTAAATATTAAATAAATATTATGAGCATATGTATTTGTGAGTGTGAATATATTTTAATTTACCACTTCTTCCTCTTCAAATTTACTTTTTCCCCCTAGATGAAGAACCATTTTTGAGTGATCATTTTTAGGCCACTGTATCAGATATGCTTGGCATACAACAAGCTACACATAATATATACAACTTGATGAGTTTGGAAAAACTATATACACCTAGGGGAAATCTTTATTACAATCTATGCCATAAACCTATCCATCATTTTCAAAGGTGTCTTTCTACCTTAATTGTTTTTATTCCTTTTTGTGATAAGAACATTTAGTATAATATCTACGTTTTTAGTAAAATTTCAAATATATAATACTATATTGTTGACTATAGGCAGTATGCTATAGACTAGATCTCTAGGACTTCTTTATCCCATATAACTAAAACTCTGTACTCTGATTAATACGTCACTGTTTCCCCTAATTCATCAAGCCCTGGTAGATCATCATTTTACTCTTTGTTTCTATGGGTCTGGCAAATTTAGGTTTATCATATAATTAATAAAGTAGTATTTGTCCTGCATCTGGCTTATTTAATTTGGCAATAGCATAACATTCTGCCGATCTATTTGTATGCTCAAAAAGACAGGCTACCCTTCTTTTTCTTTTAAGGGATACAATCTTTCACTATATTTATCTATTACTTCTTCATCCATTCATCTGTGGAAGGATATTTGGTTGCTTCCATGACTTGGCTATTGTGATTAATGCTCCAATGAACATGGGAGTTCCAATACTGTTTCTGTGATTCTGATTTCTATTCCTTTGGAGAACACCAAGAAATATAACTGCTGAAGCATATGGTAGTTTGCTTTTAAGTTTTAAGGAAACTTCACATGGTGCACCAATTTAACACCATCAGTGTACAAGGGGTACATTTTCTCCACATCCTTTCCAAGGTTTGCTTGTTTTTTACTTGTTGATAATAGCCATCCAAATAGGAATGAAGTAATATCTCAGGGTGGTTTTGATTTGCTGATGATTATGGTTATTTTTGTTGAGCACGTTTTATCCATCTGTTGGCCATAAATACATCTTCTTTGGAGAAATGTTTGTTCGGTTCCTTTGTCTACTTTTTTAAGTCAAGTTATATGTTACAAAGTTACAATTATAGTAATCATGTGGTACTGACCTAAAAACAGACTTATGCAACAATGGAACAAAATAGCCCAGAAATAAAACCACTCATATGCAGTACAATTCAAGAAAGGTACAAGGAATAAAAATGGAGAAAAGAATAGTCTCTTCAATAAATGATGTTGGGAAAACTAGGTACCTACATGCAAAAAGAGTGAAATTGGGCAATCCACACAGAAATTAATCCAAAATGGATTAAAGAATTAGAAGATTTGAAATAATAAGGGAAAGAAAAGTGACCACCACACTCGGAGCAACCAAGAGATCTTTATTGCAGCAGTGCAACAAAGGAAAAAAGAAAGAAAGAGAGAGAAAGAAGAGAGAGCAAGAGCAAGAGAGAGAGAGAGCAAGAGAGCAAGAGAGAGAGGGGCCCAGCAGGAGGGAGTTTTTATAGCCCAAATCTAATGGGGTCTCTGGGTCTGCAAGCTGCCTTGTTGGCACAAGGGTTGTGGGGGGTTAAGTGTTCAGCCTTGAGTGGGGGTTGAGTGTTCAGCTTTGACACAAATAGGTGATAAAGGACCAGACAGAGGGGAGTTTGAGTGCGTGGGCTATCCTGCAGCTAACATTTGTTCAGCCTGCCCTGCAGATAACATAGTTCAGCCTGTCCTGCACCTAACAATAAGAGTCCTAGAGGAAAACATAGGAAAGAGGCATCTTGTCATTGTCCTTGACAATGATTTCTTGGATGTGACATGAAAGGCACAGTCAAAAAATAAAAATAGACACTTGGGACTACAACAACTAAATAGCTTCAGCCCAGTAAAAGAAACAATCAACAGGATGA